TGGGACTGGAGGTACTGTGTCTGGGGGTGCCGCTGCTGGAGGCACTGAGGCTGGAGACCCTGGGACTGGAGGTGCTGGTTCTGGGGGTGCTGCTGCTGGAGACACTGAGGTTGGAGACCCTGGGACTGGAGGTGCCGGTTCTGGGGCTGGAGCTTCTGGAGCTGCTGGCGGTGCTCAAGCTGCTGGAGGTACTGGAGCTGCTAAGGCTGGTGCAGCTGCGCCGACACGACTGTTCTTCGCTCCGCCGTCTCCGTCGTCTCTGCCGCCGCCTGACTCTGTTCTTCGTCAGGTTCTTACTCTCCCGTCGTCTACTGGTCTTCCGTTACAGCCTGGCTCACCGCTGCCTGCTCCTTCTCCTTACACTGAGCAAACAGGTAGTCTTGCTGAGCGTCGTGAGCCTGCGTCGCGTCCTGTCTCGCCTGTTCGTTCTGGTCGTACCGGTCGTCGTGTTCCTCGTTCGCGTCACCCAGCTGTCCCCAGCGCACACCTAGTAGTCCGTCGTCCTTCCTCTGCTCCGCAGCTTGTTCCTCTGCCATCTCCCCCTGCGTCCTCTCTGCCTGTCGTTCCAAACCCTAAGTCTGACGGGTTTCGTGCTGAGCACCCTACTATCACGCGTCTGTTAGCCACTGTTGTCACTGATCCGTCGTTTGAGTCTACTGCTGCGTCTGCCTTGGTTGCTGAGCTTGTTGACTTTGCTGCTGCCTGTCGTCTAGACTACGCCGCTAGTCTCGTTGCTGAGTCTGAGTCTGTCTGTCCTCCGTCCGTCGGGGGTGAGTGTGCTCTTAGCACGGACGTTCTTGAGGACAGGCAGGAGGAGTTCCAGTGTTTTGCTGCTGCTTTACCTCATCTCGTGTCCATGCTGCTTGCCCCTGAGGGAGACCCGGATGCACCAGACATCCCGACTCCGCGCTCTTACGCAGAGGCGATAGAGGGTCCCTACTCCTCTCAGTGGCAGTCAGCCATGGACGCAGAGATGGCTTCCTGGAAGTCCACAGGCACCTACGTCGACGAGGTTCCCCCACCTGGGGCGAACATCGTCAGTGGCATGTGGATTTTCAGGGTGAAACGGCCGCCGGGTTCTCTGCCTGTCTTCAAGGCGCGTTACGTGGCTCGAGGCTTCAGTCAGCGCCAGGGAGTTGACTACTTTCAGACCTTCTCTCCCACCCCGAAGATGACCACTCTTCGGGTGCTGCTGCACATAGTGTAGCCGCTCAGCGCGACTACGAGCTTCACTCTCTTGACTTCAGCACAGCCTTCCTACAGGGCAGCCTGCACGAGGAGATCTGGCTGCGCCGCCCACCTGGCTTCACTGGGTCGTTTCCTCCTGGTACCCAGTGGAGCCTCCGGCGGCCAGTCTACGGTCTCTGCCAGGCGCCACGTAAGTGGCACGACACACTGAGGACTACACTTGCGGCTCTTGGGTTTGCTCCTTCTACTGCCGACCCGTCGCTGTTTCTACGCACCGACGCCTCTTTGCCGCCGTTCTACATCCTCGTGTACGTCGACGACTTGGTCTTTGCTACAGCTGACACTGCTGGACTCGCCCACGTGAAGTCCGAGCTGCAGAAGAGACACATGTGCACAGACCTGGGTGAACTGCGCAGCTACCTCGGCTTGCAGATCACCCGGGACAGAGCACAGCGCACCATTACCCTGACTCAGTCACACATGGTGCAGCAGGTCCTTCAGCGCTTCGGCTTCACGTACTCCTCGCCTCAGGCCACTCCTCTGTCTACTCGCCACTCGCTCTCAGCTCTGCCTTCGGATGAGTCCGTAGAGCCGAGTGGCCCGTACCCAGAGCTTGTTGGTTGCCTCATGTACCTGATGACCTGCACTCGACCTGACCTTGCATACCCTCTTAGCATCTTGGCACGCTATGTTGCTCCTGGGAGACACCGACCAGAGCACATGGCTGCAGCGAAGAGGGTGTTGCGCTACTTGTGCAGTACGTCGGGCATGGGGCTTGTGCTTGGAGGGCGGAGTTCAGTGGTCCTCACTGGTCACGCAGACGCGTCTTGGGTCGACGACCTGGCTACGCAGCGGTCGTCACAGGGTTACACCTTCAGCCTTGGTTCCGGCTCTGTTTCGTGGCGGTCTACCCGCTCGTCGTCTGTTCTCAGCTCCAGCTGTGAGGCTGAGATCTACGCAGGGGCCACCTACCTGCTGACTGACCTGGGAGAGCCGCCTCGTTCTCCTCCAGTTCTGTACATAGACAACAAGGCCATGCTGGCCTTGTGTCAGGAGCACAGACTGGAGCACAAAACAAAGCACATTGCTCTTCGCTACTTCCTTGCTCGTGAGCTGCAGCAGCGTGGTCAGCTGCGCCTTGCTTACATGGCCTCTCGGGCCAACACTGCTGATATCTTTACCAAGGCACTTCAGCCTTGTGATCATCAGCGTTTTTGTACTATGCTAGGTCTTGTGCCTACTTGGCCTCACTTGCTCACTTCTTGACCTTGCTTGTACTGTGATTTATATATACCTGCTCTTGCTTGTTTACCGTTATCTATAATCCTGCATGTGAACTGGCCTTGTGGCCTTGAACCTGTGCTCGGAATGTGTGGTGACGTTGTGATCCACCTTGAGCTTGCTTTGCTTTTCTTGACTGGTCTTGTGACCTCTTGTTCTCCCCCACTTTGCCTATGGGGGTGTGTCAGAATGCTATATATGACTTAGTCTTTGTAGGCTCTAGTGGGGTAGACACTAAGGGGTACAGGTTTCTAAGGTTTCACATTTGTATCCAACATTTTCCTTGTTCAATCATTCCTCATTCTTCACAGTCTGAAATCTCGGACGAATTTTTTTTCCACGTCTGAAATTGCAACTTGCATCTTGATGGCGCAGCGGTGCGTTAGACTGCAGTGGACATGCAGTGGACAGGACTGTGAGGCGTGGGGCTTGAGGGAGGGGGAATGGTTGGGCTGGGAAAGGTACGGTATGACAGAGTTGGGGGCAGGCCCTCAGATTCGTTTGGGGGTACACTGAGGCCTCAGGGCAGTTTTTAGGAAATCAGAATTTGCCCTGAATTGTCAGGGCTGCACAGGGTGAGGTATCCTGAAATGTCAGTGCTAAAATTGACAGTATCCTGGCAGCTCAGTGCTACATTTCGTACAATCCTGTGTATTTCGCGTGTGTTATGTTAGCGGGGATCGATATGCTCTCCACATTCGAAGTGTGTAATGCTTATGCTGGGGTGCAGCTGCAAGTGGCTGGCAGTGCAAGTCGCTGGCAGCTGCATGGTGCGAAACTGTTACAGCACAGTACAAGCAGATGGCGGCGGTGGACATTGTGGGCCAAATTGGCTGGCAAAGGCGAAGTGTTTAAAAATGTTAACGAAGAAATTATATTCTTATCAAGACATGAAGTGTGGTGCCGGAGAGGGTAAAGCGACAGCTTGATAAACAACAGGCCCTCTGCTCGAAACTCGGCAACTCCAAGTCTGAAGGTTCCCACCTGTGTATCCTGTAGGCCCCCGAAACCCCCAAGATTTTTCGTACAGTACATCTCGCTTCAGGGCGAGATTCGACACTATCCTGAGTCGTCAGGGCCGAACCTACAGGGTTATCCTGAGTTTCCAGTACGCAAAATAACCATTACCGTCATACCCCGGATATAAGCGCCACCCTCGGATAAGCGCCTGGCGCTTTTAATTGGCGCATGGCGCTTATATCCGCTGCTAGATTATAAGCGCACCCCCTGAAAAAACTTGTTTTATTATAAGCGCACGTAAACTTTAAATTTTGAAATGTGTTCAAAACGCTGTAACGATTTTTACTTTAGCATGGGGGTGTGTTGCAGATTCACTTCCCTTCACATTCGGACCCTGCACTGGATGCGGGTCCAGTCAGCAGGAGCAGTCAGGAGCTGTCAGAAGCTGTCAGGAGCTGTCAGAGTGGGTGTATCTATAGCGCGCGCAAGAATTTCACAGACGACCCCATGTAACTTCGACTCGATTGAAAAAGGCAAGCACGAGATCTACAGCTTGGTGTTAAAAAATATATATGTCGTTTTATAAACGCCGGCGCTTATAAATTTACTCGATTATAAGCCCACCCCCCTAAAAAAACCTGTTTTATTATTGCCCCCCATGGGGGTATATCCGGGGTATGACGGTATACTGATTTTACAGGACAAGTAATTCCCTTATGCTGTTTTTTCAGGAGAAGCACACGACACCTATCCTGAATTCAGGAGAATCAGGATAAATTATCCTGATAACATAGGCCCTGTCTCGTTGCCGACAAACACATGCTCTGGTCGATGGTCATGCACTTGCACTATTTACGTTGATTCTGCCGCCCAAGAATTGTGTCAATTATGTGGCGTATTTGCGGCTCAAGAGCAAGAGGGCGGACTCTTGGGGCTGCTGAGGAAGACGGTGGGGTCCTGGATGCACGGAAGGTGGATGCAAAAGGGGTGGAAGCAGGCTTGGAGAGGGTTGGCACATTGGAAGCAGGTGAGCTGTGTGGCAGCCCTTGTTGCACTCTTGGTATCACTCTATGCATCGCAGTGTGCTGTTCTCCAAGGGTGGCAGCAGGCCTGACACCTGACATTGCAGTACGATGCGCAATATCAGGTCTGGCAGGAGGAGGTGCTGAAGCACTTGCAAAAGGTGGCCTGACGGTGGTCCCAAGAGGTGTGGCAGCAGGTGATGTGACTGCGGGCGCGACAGCCAACCAAGGTGTAGAGCAGGGCTGCAGGTTGAGAAACAAACGCGGTCTAAATGGCCTTTTGCTCCTTTGCCTTTGCCATGGCCTCCATCCCCCTTCCCCTCCTTCTGCTGCCCTTCCTCCCCCTATTCCAGCTTCTGCTGCTCTCCCCTCTTCTGCTCCCCCTTCTTCTGCTCTCACTTGTACTGCTCTCCCTTCACCAACTCTCCCTTCCTCTGCTCTCTCTTTCCTAGCTCCACCTTTCCTTGCTCCCTCATCTCCTGCTCTCGCTTCCCATCCTCTCTGCTCCTCCATGGTCTTTCGTTTCCTCCCACCCCCCTACGGTCTTTC